CATCATCATCATCATCATCATCATCATCATCATCATCATCATCATCATCATCAACAACATCATCATCATCATCAACACCGGCGTTTCCCTCTTGCTGCATGGTGTAAGCTCTATATATTCCTTTTCTTTCCCAGGTCTTGGAAAACATTAATCACCAAAATAAAAGTTTTTTTGAAAGCAGTTGGAAAAAAACAACAGCAACCCCGAAATAATAGTTACTTTAATACATAAAAAAGAAAACAGAAAAAAAAGAAACATCAATACTTCGGTAAAAAAAATAAAAACGTAGTCCATCAAGTGAGTGATGAAATAAACGAAAGTAAGAAAATATTTTAAAATTCCAGTGCTGTTTTATCGCTGACAGCAGACCCAGGACGAGACGGAAGAACAGAATAACAGAACTCCTACATCTCTGTATTAGCTAATATTGCGGTGCAGTCTTGCTGGACAGAGACTTCTGAACCTTCCAGATTTTAACAACAAACAACAAACGAATTTTTAAAAAAAGCTTGTTCAAAGTTTTCTATCAAACGTTGTGCATTTTTATCATCACGGTTGTAACTACCATCACCTCACTAAGAGGAGGCAATAGATGTAGATCTAGATTCTAGATCTAGTTTGTTACCATCGAACGAACAATAAAATAACATCAAAAGAAAAGATAATTACTCAGTCGAAGAAACCTAACCATCTTTAGAAACTCGATCAAAGCACCAAAAAATCTATAAGTAAACTCATCATCAAGATATCGTAAGAGATAAACAAACAAGCAAACTAAAAAAAATAAGCAGAACAAACTGCGTACACACAAAGAAACAAGCAGAACTGAGAAGGTTAAACAAAAGGTGTTCGAAATGGCAGCAGTCGACACGGCCCACTTGGCATCTCGCGAGCAGCTCGTCTTCACCAACAATGAGACCGCTTACCTGGCCAGTACCGTGGCCAAGCCTTTAGCGCAGTGTTTACAAGTGAGTGATTGTTTTTTGCTGTTGTTGTTGTTGTAGATCTAGTTGTTCTTATTGCCGTCTTTGTTGTTGATGTTATTGATAATGTTGTTTTGTGAAGGTGAATGGTTCGTTTGTTGTTGTTATTGTTGTTATTGTTGTTATTGTTTGTTGTTGTTATTGTTGTTATTGTTTGTTGTTGTTGTTGTTGTTGTCGTTTAGATCTATTTGTTTGTTTGTTTGTTATTATTGACGTTGTGCTTTTGCATGATGGTGAATGGTTCATATATTAATATTCTGATGTTGTCGTTGTTGTTG